CCTCCCCCCGCCCCCCCCCCCCAACAAAAGCCCAGCTGTATCAGATTTCCCTTCTTCCCCATTTTATACTTGATGCAGTTTGTTTTTTCCTCTGCCTGGGTGGGACTGGCTGCATGGGTGAGCCAGCAAATCTTGCTGACCCAATACAGTCCTCCCCACTAGGCAGCTCAGTTTGTGCCTGCAGCTCAGCCCCAGTGCCTTTTCTGTTGTTCTAAAGGGAGGTTCCTTCCAAGGGAAACAGCTGCTCATTCTTTTCCCCTGACAGTTCTGGCACTTTGGTGAATGGGTTGATGTGGTGGTTGATGATCGCCTGCCGGTGAATGAAGCAGGGGAGCTGGTCTTTGTTTCCTCAGTTTATAAGAATGTGTTCTGGGGAGCCCTTTTGGAGAAGGCATATGCCAAGTAAGTGACTCATTCCAAGTTATGCAAATAATCTCTCTGAAATATGTTGTGTGGTGCCTACACAGTTTGTTCTCACTTATAAATGTATCTCCTAGGTTTTTGCCTCACTTGGAGTGTAGTAAATGGTTCTCATCTTTCTATTATTAAACAGTAAAAGCTGCTACTGTGGAAGCTGTTATCTATTCAAGCCCTTGTACAGAATCCAAGGGTTCAGAAGTAGGCATGAAAACAGATCTATCCTGGGTGGCTGTCCTCTGAGTTCTAGTGTTGTTTGGGGTGGGATGACTGAGATGACGTCTTTCTCACAAACGCTGCAGGGGAGCCGGAGGCCACAAATACAGATCTTTTCCAAGGCGACTTGTCATTTCTAATGCCTCCTTTGCTGTGTTACCAGTTTGAGGAACCCTCAAGGGGCTTCATTTTGGGGCTCTGCTGAGGAAATTGCCCTTTGGTCCTGGTAGAGATTTCCTGCTCCTTTCTCTAGCACACCAAGAATACTGGGCTCTCTTGTGCGCGCTCTTTCTCTCTCTCTCTCTCTCTCTCTCTCTCTCTCTCTCTTGCTTTTCAGTCTGGAGTGGTTTACAAAGGCTAAGAAGGAAAAAGCAAGGCATAGCAGATGGACTTTGTTCTTGGGCTGAAATACTCTCTGCAGAGTGGGGAGAATCCTAGTTAACATTGAGAGAGAGAGACCGCATGAAAACTATTTTTCATTTGGTGGTAGTGTTAGGCAAAAAGAGAGGAGCAAGTTGCTTGGCAATGGTGAAGAAAATCAGATTGGAGACTGAGCTCTCAAGGCACAGTAAATATAGCACAGTCATTGGTGAGATGTTCAGTCAACGTTTGCTAAGGCTGAGTTATCAGAGAAGTGAGAACATGCCCATCACAACTTCTCAGGGAAGAGATGTGGGATGGAACTGAGTGAAATAAGGAGTCCCTTTCAGACTATGGCCAATTGGAGTCAGTTTGCTAGATTCCCCTCTTAAATGCCAAAGATGCCCTAAAACGGAACATGGGTTACAGCTTCCCTTTTGCTTTTGCAAACCTTTATTGTTATTGGCTTTCCTTGTCACGCTGATCTCAAGCTACCATCTGCCACTACCCCAGATAATATATTAGTGTCTCTTTTGCTAGACTCTACGGCTCCTATGAGGATCTGCAGATTGGGCAAGTTTCAGAAGCCTTGGTGGATTTCACAGGTGGTGTTAATATAACGATCAAGCTGGCAGCAGCTCCTCCTGATCTATGGGATATCATGACAAGAGCAACCTACAGCAGATCTCTCATGGGCTGTCATACACATTTAGGGGTGAGACTTGCTGTGGCATCAAAGGGCCTCACAGCTAAAAGCCTTTGAAGACCTGTTTCCCTCTGCTGAGCTAGTCATTGTGACTCTTCTAAAGATTCAAAGCTGCTACATGTGAGCTTCTGTAAAAATCACGCTCTTGTTAAGGTTTGCACAGGGATTCTCTGCTGCCCTCAGCTTCCTGTTATGTTTAGGAGGTGGCTTATCTATCAAAGAACCTCCCTTAAATAAGGACCTGCTGCATTTTCCCATTTTTGTTAAATAAATGTTTCATTTTTATAGATGGAGCACTGAGGCAGAGAGTCATGAAGTAAGCTTATAGCTAAGATCGAAGAGGTCAGCACATGACTTCAAATCTTGGCTTCCAAGCCTTAAGCTAACCTTTCAGCTGTTGCGAGACCCTACTGTTCTACAAATCTAAGCCTAACCTCCTGGACTTTGGAAAAAAAGAGGTGATCTCTAGCCAGAGATCCCCAGTTTACGAAGGGACCTTCCCAATTCCAACCATGCTGCAAAATGTGGCTGTTAGGTGCTCAGACCTATCTCTTTTTCAGTTCAAACCAGTCTTCATTTGAGGGTGATTGCTTATGCTGGTGCAGGTCTCTTTGGTGTTGATATGAGTCTGCTGTGTAATTAGAGGTAGAACAGAAGGTTTACTTTCCTCCTCTTTCTCTTCCTTGTACGCAGACAACAAAGGTCCTGAGGAATGGGCTTGTTGCTGGCCATGCCTACACAGTGACTGGTATTAGAAAGGTAAGAACAGCCCTAATATCCTGTGTCCAGACTTGCCTGGATGTCAGCAAGTTTTGTTGCAGTCATGGGTTCAGCCCTTAACCGGGGCAACTGTGGTATATATGTTCTCCTTCAATGCCATTCCAAATCTCCTCCTCCCCCAGTCTAAGTCTAAAAGGGAACTTTTAAAGGTTCCCTTTAAAGCGTGTCCATTTTAATATCATGAGCTTGATGTAAAGGATAGTTAATGGTCAGAGCTCAGCATATCTCTAAGGGTGGGTATGATTCACAGGACTCTACTCACAGCCTCTGCATACTGACAGATGCACCTTAGCTGTTAAGGAGGAAGGGACTGGCCTTCAGGTATGCTGGGAGGCTGAGATGAAGCCCGCTTCGAGTAAAACGTTTTCTGCTGAAGTCAGAGGGGTAACAGCAGTAAAGACAATTGAATGTAAGGGCCATATGGAAATGAGAGTCAAGGCTAAAAACAAAGGAGCCAGACTGGGCTTCTGTGCAGGGAATACCAAGCAGACCCTACTGGTCTGCAGATGAGTTATGGGGGTACCTTTGGAGATATCTAGTCCAGTGGCATGGGACAGTAAAATAATAGTTCCCAAAGAGCCCAGCTCCAGCCTTTGTCTCCTGGATTGATGGCTGACCATCTTCTCCAGCTCCAGAAGGACGTTGACAAGGATGGCAAGGAATTTTGTGAGGCTTTGGGCATAGGGTAGAGATGTGAGGGAAAGCACATTCAGTACCTCAGCAAGAGCTACTAGAGAGGCTGGGAGAGGTACTGTGAGCTGCCTGGCACGTGCCTGTGTGTCCCACACACAGCAGGAGGGTATTAGATAAGAACTTTATCACCTACATGCCTGTCAGTCTGGCTAGCCCCTCTGATAGGGTAAAGGGCCGGGCAGGAGTAAGGGATGGACTGAGCACGTGGAGCCCATGCGAAGTCAGCTATTCTGCTGTTTGCTGTCAAGAAAGCTCCTAGTCAGCCTGCCTCTTCTTTGATTGTGGCATCCCAGTTCGTGAGGCGCTAGTCTATGTGGTCACCCCACTAGCTGCATTGTGCTGTGCCGTTGCACTGGGATGGGACTTATCTTTCATGGTAGTACGTTCCTGCCTTGACATAAGCACAGAGCGAATAGGTATTGGAAAGGAGGAAGAACTTGCTGTTAAGCGTCCAAATTAGGAATCCATGAAGTCTCTGGCTCTGGTTATAAAAAGTAGGGTAAAGCCTTTTAATCTTTTGGTATCTGCATTCAGAGTTGCATGTTCATAGCTTTTTTTTTGATCATATTTGCTGGCATGTGTGAGAGCAAAGCCTTTGCTGTATTAATATCGGGCTGTAAATCAGATGAGAACTGCTGAGACCTTAGTGAGCACAGCGCTACTGTATTCTGCAGGTGACCTGTCGCTATGGACCAGAAAACTTAGTGAGACTGAGAAATCCGTGGGGAAAAATTGAATGGAAAGGAGACTGGAGTGACAGGTGAGTTTAAAGCGGTCTCATGCTGAGCAGGAGGGAAAGTTTCTTTGTAGGAAAGATGCTGCCATCTTCAGGCGTGAATTAGTGCTGAGAGCAGCGTTAAGATAAGTGACAGTTGCTTGCACAGACCCTCTGATTTCCAAGCAGTCACTCAATGGAGTTATATTTCTCCAGCAGTGAGTGCTCATGCAATTGGGCTCACTTCATACGGGCTGCTTCAATGAACTGGATTCTGTTTTTTTCACTCTTTGAATGTCAGAGGAAACATAATATGAACATCGGATGCTGACCATGTTGCTGTGATCTGATGGCTTGTGAAGTCACAGGGATAGGTTAGCTATTCAGGAGGCTTTAAACAAAGAGTCTGTTTCAGGGCATGCAGCCCTTTGTCACGGGAGGGGCCATGCAAAAACCTCCACATACTGCACAGTGTTGGAGTGGTGGCTGTGAAGAAGGCCTCCATCCTGGCTTTTTGGGGGAGTAGGACTGGGTATAGATCAGAAGAAGCAACTCATAAGGGAAATGGGCCCTATATTTGTATTTGCTGGATGTTTTGGTTGGGACCCGTGAAGGACAGTGGGTTGTATTCCAGACTGCAGGTAATTGTAGCCCTGTCCCTTTCTGAAGCAAAGGATGTTCCTTCCTTCCAAGCTTCAGTTGCTTCACCTGCACAGACCCTGTGTGCTGAGGTGGGGGGTGGGGGGGGCAGGGAGGAGGGCAGAGCCCAGGGAGGTGTTGGGGGTGTGAGTGACTTTCACCTTGTCTGCGGAGTGGTAACTTTGCTCCAATGTGTGTCTGTCGCTTGGTGACAATGTACCAGCTGCTGCTGTTGAGGAGCATAATGAGGAACATACTGTAGCCCTGCCTTTTAAATGACTCCCAGCTGCCTCTTGTGCTGTCCTAGTCATTCATTCGTTATGCCGAATGCTTATTATGTCTCCTTTGACAGAAAATTAACCAACAAAACAGAGCTAGAATTTTATATTTCAAGCACTTGGAAGCTGCATGTGTAAGTGAAAGGACTGACTGATGGAAATGGAGCGCTTTTGGCCTCTGCTGGAGAGGCTGAAGCATTTTACTTGCACCTCATGGGATCTGGAGTGCTTGTGGAGAATCTCCTAGGGCTGAAAGCACAGGGAGCCTGCGTTTAGTGAGGGATAAACATGGAGAAATGTGGGGACAGGGATTTGGCCTGCTTTTATGGAGGAAAAGCTGTGTCCTCTGCCTTTAATATGAATGAAGCTGGATTTGGTTAGTCACTCATGTTTTTGCTCTCAGCTCTTATAAGTGGGAATTGCTGAGCCCAAAGGAGAAGATCTTGCTGAGGAAAAAGAAGGAGGATGGAGAATTCTGGTAATGGCACAGTCTTGTCTCTCCTCTCTCTGGTAGCTCTGGGGCCGTGGTTGGAGCTGAAGTAGCACCTTGCTTTCTCCTGTTGCCAATTAGGTCGAGGCATGTGTGACCTGCTTTATAACAGCCCTCTCTTGCTCACTTGCCATCCTTCTCTGTTCGATGATGTGAGCAGCAGTAGGTGTGCTGACATGGAAGAGGTGCATTGGTCTTAAATGTCAGGAGGGAGGGAGAAGCCGGGCACTGCCCAGGTCTCCCAGGGCTGCCCGAGACCTGGGCAACTTTCAAGGGCTTTTGTCCTGCCTTCTATTTTCAAGATAGCTTTGGGAAGCTCTTACTTGTATCGATTTGTCTTCTCATGGCTTTGCTACTGCTTGTGCCACGAGGTGGCAATGTTGCTGCCTGTGTCACTTCACTGTGGTCTCTTTGGTGGCGATATTTCAATCTCAGTGCTGCTGTCCTTTGCTGAAACTTCATTCGTGCCTTTGCTACTGCTAGATGCTGCTGTTGAAGCAGACACTTGCTTCTTCCCCACCTCATGTAGTATGAGTATTACCATATGTAACACAGAATGGTGTGGCTTCGAAGTTGCCCGCTGCCTTTCCCTTTCATAAGCCATATGGACTAAACTAGACTGCTGACAAGATGTCTCTTGGCACTCTTTTCCCAGGATGTCTCTGCAAGATTTTAAGATTCATTTTGTAGATCTGATGATCTGTAAATTAACTCCGGACTTGGTGAGCCAGGAAGATGGGAAGAAGTGGATGTACTCACTGAAGAGTGGGAGATGGGTTAAAGGAAGCACAGCAGGAGGGAGCTGGGGGTTCCGCACAGGTGAGTGGTGCTTAGGGCTCTTCTGGGGGCCTCTGTGGTGACGCTTCTCTGCTGGCTCAGGTACCAGCATGTTATACCTCTTAACACAAAATTGACAACAGAAAGTGCTCCTCCTTGAGCCTCTGCACAAACATTGGAAAGACGCAGCTAAAGGACTCTGACTAGCATCTGCCACCATAGAGACCGTGTTACTTGCAAACAAAGGGAAAGGGGCTGGTTGTGGTATGAAGCAAGCTGCAGGAGTCCTAGGATCAGTTGTCAGCAGTGAACTACCTCGAGACTTTAGACTTGTCCATTAAAACTTGCTCCTTGGAGGTGCTGAGGATGTAGAATTTTAAGTGAAGTGAACAGAAAATGCAGGGGCTCAGCCCCTCTGGAAACAGAGTAGGTAGGGCCTGAAGTCAGATAGCCCAAGCACGAGAAGTGACGGAGGAATAATAATACGTTTATAAGTGAAATAAACTCTTGGCTGCAGGTCAGCAGAAATGTAGTTCCTTGTCCCTGGGCTTTCCCTCTATCTTACACAGGGGGTTTACTGATAAACTTGTAAACTGCTCCCTAAGATTAGATCCCTATGGGATCCATACATCCAGATGTCCTGTGACTCATTCAATCTGAGACCAGGCGTTGTGTAGGAAGATGGCAAGTGATTTTTGTGATAGAAAACAAGGTCAAGGCATATATTTTTTTTTTCCTTTTGCTTCTTAGACACATCTTGGATGAACCCTCAGTACTGGCTCGAAGTTTTGCCAGCAGAAGACAGTAAAAAAAGCCTGGGTTCCTGCAATGTGCTTGTATCCCTGATCCAGAAACACAGCAGCAAACACCGAAACCGAGCTCATCACCTTTTCATTGGCTTTTCCCTCTACAAGGTGCAAAAGAATGCTTTGTCATTCTTGCTGGGTTTCTCTGCCCAGCTGGGGAAACTTCCTAGCCCTTGCATATGGGAGAATTTTAAAGACCTTGTAGTGCACAGGGTGATCTGTGCTCTTTTCTCCTTGCCTATGACCAGTCTCCTTGGACAGAAGGGCTGGGCACAGAGCCTGAGGGAGCCCAGCTTGTTGCCTCTCTAGCAAGCTGGGTGTCAGATACAGAGCAGTGGAGAAATGCCTTTCGTTCCAGAGCGTGCTGGGATTTTGCCCTCTCGGAGTGTGTGCAAGGGCTTGGAGAGGGTGCCAGAGGTTCCTAGGAGGAACTGAAGCTTCCCCCACAAATTCTCTGTTTATTTGAGAGCCTTGTAGAGCCGCTCTCCTCACTTTAAACAGGGCCACAGCTCTTGTTACTGCCATAAGGTTGCACAGTTACACAGAGATGCCTGTGGGGAAAGGTCTTCTAATGGAGGGGCTGAGGTTTCAGAAGGTAAAGAACCCAGTGGGACCTACACAGCTGCTCCCCAGTGCAATGGTATGGCTGTGTTGTTTGGGACCCAGAAGGCTCCCTGGCTGACATGCTCTGTTTCTCTTCTCCCTGCAGATGGGCCTACAGGTGAGTCCCTTGTCACTGGTGTTGGCTCTTCGCTGGGGCACCTGGGCTGATGCAGCTGTTATGGTGGTGTCGATGGATTGGGTTTGCCTATGTCCCTTGGCCAGCAACTGATCGCAGTGCATTTGAGCTCAGTAAGGCATCACAGTAAGTCCCTGTTGATGCAGAGTTATCAACTGACTCTTTTGAAGAACAGCCATATCAAGAAGGCCCAAATGTCTTGAACAATGGCGTTATTTGTTCACCTTCTAAACTGGACCCTCTTAGGCATTAGAAGTGGTGTCTGTGTTTACCAGATCAACACGTTGTCCTTTCTGCCATTGCGCAGGTTCATTCCTGGTCAGGGACGCTCTGGAGCAGATGCTGCAGGTGTTTTTTTCTCCTTCCTCAGCCCAGCTGTCTTTCCAGCATTTTCTTTAGCCAGGAGCCTTTGGGACCTGAGAAAGGGCTCTGAAAGTTAAACTCCCACATATGTCCCAATTTTTGCCCCAACTTCAGAGGGCTATGTAAAACAGGGTAAGATTTAGCTCCTTCTACCTTGAAATGACATATCTTCCCCTCCGTCACCACTCAGAACACCTCTAAAATCAGAGTCGCCATGAATTTGGGTAGGTAAAGAACTAGTTTGGGTGTATGGTACGGACAGCATAATTATGTTCCTAGGTACTGTACTTCTAGCATGGTTACCATGTGGGAAGAGGCTGGTCCTTCCTGAATGAAATTTTTTTTTTTGGCACTATCAAGGTTAAAAGTGAATTAAAATTCCTAGCTGAGTGTGGCCGTAGCACACTGCTGTGCAGCACCCCTGATAATAGGAGTAGGAGGGAGGCCGGTGACAGCCCGGAGTTAAATTTCAGGCCTGTATCAGTTGCCAAGATCAATACTGAGAGAGGGTGAACCGAGAGCCTCTAAGGAATTAGAATTACAGCAACATGGTGTTGACTGAAGTATAAGAACTTTGAATTTAACATACAGGGCATGGAGAAGAGCAACTCTGTACCCCTCAGAAGAAAGATTGCTCTATTAGTTTGAAAAATACTGGCAAAGGAAAAGGAATAGCATCTCTGCCACTAGGCTGGGGAATGAAATGACTGAATGTCTGGAGGAACAGCCAAGATCAGGAGATGACAGGGGTCTTAGCTGGTGGGTTTATTTATTTGGCTTATGTTCTGGGCACTCAGTGGCATTAAAAATCAGTTCAGTGTTGCCTGGAGATCAACATTTGATCAGTCTTCCCATTGTAAAAAGGGGGCCTGCAGAGCAAAATGTCTGTGAGAGTTAAGAGCGCCAGGCAGATCAGGGACTCATGCACAGAGTTAGGGCTAGGGATTAGTTTGCTTCTGCAGTATGTTCAGAACATGGGTACTCCAAAAAGTCATCCACTTCTAGATCCCTAGTGCAAAGGACTGGTTGGAGACAAAGTGCTCAGTGCTTACAGGATAAGGGGAGTGCCCTGACTAGGGAAGAGCAGTTTCTAGCGCAGCTCTTGCCTGCAACCACTTCTGCAAATGTGGAAATGACTTTTGTAGTAGCTTAGGATGGCAGAAATTACTTTTCCTCCCAGTCAACACTGTTCCTTGCAAAGTCTATTAAGCTGTAGATAAGGTTACAGGAAGCCCCATTCTTTTAAATTCCTAACATTTGGACAGGGATGGTGTGTGGTGAGTTCGAGCGTGTCCTGGCAGGAGGCAGAGCCCTTCAGGGTTCCTGTGCTTGTGCTGCAGGGAAGTCCAAGGTATAAAGGCAGGCTGTCTCTGTCTTGCCTACGACTTCTCCGTATGCCTTTTGTCCATTTGTTCAGCCAGGGTGGAACACATTTATTTTGCGCTTTTTCCCTTAACAGTACCAAGAAAGCAACAAAAAGCTGCCCCCAGCGTTTTTCACTAGGCACCAGCCTGTGAACAAACACCAGGTCTTTGTGGACGAGCGGGAAGTGACTCAGGACTTCCACCTGGAGCCTGGTGTCTATGTGATTGTCCCATCCACCCTGGAGCCCCATCAGGAGTCTGAATTCATCCTACGGGTCTTCTCCCGGAAGCATGTTCTTCGGTGAGATGCTGCTGCTCCTCTGCTGGCAGCTAATGCTCTGGGATGGTGGGATGGCAGGTCTTTCTAGTCTTACGGGGAGGGCAGTTTAAGGATTTTTCTATGCAAAAGACAGAGCACTTTGTCTTCTGCAGGGGCTGGCTGTAGGTGTCTATTAGCTTTGGATGCTCGGTGGTTGAGGTGCTGCTTTTGGCCCTCTCCTTTCAAGAAGAGTTGAGCTAGGCACATGCAAGGTATTCTTGCAGCACCCTCATGTTTGAGACTGGAGAGGGAAAACCCTGTTTGCTATGGGACTCTGCTGGTAGTGGTGAAGTGGTTGGTTTTACAGAAAAGGTGCCTTGGAGATTTTAAATGCCACCAGCACTTGGGAGCCTTATAGGTATGGTCGCTTCCCCTAATGCAGCTGTAGCACTGGGGAAAAGTCATATGGTGCAAGAGCAGGGTGGGGCCCTTACCTGGGGATAGGAGATGCTCCCTGTGATGAGACAAACATGTAAGTGTGGGTTATCTCCTTAACATGCCTGCTCTTCCCCATTTCCAGGGAGATGGGAGGGAGCCCCAGTTTCACCCTCTCCAAGGTGAGTTGGTATAGGGGAAGTGGGAGGTCTGGGGTTCTGTCTTCAGCCCTGGACTTCAGATTTTTCCTGTTGCTCTGGCCTATGGAGAGGCTGAGTGAGAATGTGAGTGCTTGTGTTGTGGCCCTTTCAAAAGGGCAACTAGGTTTACAGCCACAGTGTCTTTGGCTATATCAATAACAGTAATCAAATGCCAGGAGCGAGGTGGGGATTATTTGATATCTTTGTTCATTAGTTGCCTTTTATGCAAATTTCTCTTAATACGATCATCTTACTTGGCAATATTTCCTATCTGTGGCCTTTAGGAGACTCCTTGTCCGTTCCCTGGTACTCCTCCCCGCTCCTTTTATGCCCTGAAGGTTTTGAAGACATTATGGGACCTGAGCAGTACTGTTCTCATGAAGTGGTCCGTAGGTTGTTTTCAGAATAACCGAGCTCAATGGCCATGTGGTCTGCCTCTGCAGACACGTCTGCAACTAGTGCAAAGGGGTGGGGGATTATAACGTAGTCCATTTCCCTGGTATAAACAAGGCCCTTCCTTCTCTTCATGTATTTTACTCTCCCGTATAAAGCAGGATAGAGACCTTGCTCTTCCTTCTTGGCATGGAGTGAACCCTATCCTTTTTTCCTTCTCGGGCTGCTTTGGAGGGGAGATTTTTCTCCCTGCTGTGGGTGATTTGAGTATTACTTTCCTATCAGTAGCATTTCTATGGGGTGGGAGCTATCCAAGCAGTGAGCTGCGTTAGTGCCAACAGCACGGATTGCAACGGTGGGGAGAAGGTGGCAGGATAGGGGAAGGAAGTACAGCTCTGAGAGAGCAACTTCAGTGACTATATCTTGGATCACACTTCTCTTCACTGAATTAATAATTTTTCTTATATCCTAAAGGAAATTGTTGATAGGTATGAAGGCAAAATTTGGGAAGACTTCTTCACAAAGCACTTTGAACAGGTAAGTGCATGCATGAGCTGCAAAGGCTGTTATGTAGCTCTACCAAAGTAAAAGCGCATGGACACACGAAGGAGTCTGGAGGTGGAATGTGGGGAAGAGAGAGGAGCCACGGGGGGTTTGGGGTAAGTGTACAGTACTGATTCCATGGAGCAGATTTGACTACAAAGCACCAACAAGGCTTAGGAATAGGTTAGCAATGGTGAAAGGAGAACTCCTCTGCACAGCAGGGAGTGAACTCATGGAACATGCTGCTGCAAGTCATTGCTGATGTGACAGAATGAGCAGATTCAAAAGGGGTTAGACAAACTGATGGACAGCAAGTCCAAAGAAATACTAAAGGTCCAGACAGGGAGGTACCCTCTAACATCCCTAATCGCAGGCTTGCGTGCTCTCACTAAATATTAATTCCTACTGCTAGACTTGGGGACAGACTGCTGGGCTACAAGAACCTATCCTACTCTGAAGGATATCCTTACATTCACTGAGGAAAGTCGCTTATTAGAGGAGAACACCCTTTGAAATATTGGCGCTTGTCTCACGTTCCTTCATCACAGATTGATGGCTGCTAGCTTGCTTTGTGAGGCAAAGGAGGTATAAAGTATCCCATCACCTCCTTTGCTCAGTAATTCTCCTAGTGAAAGATAAATTGCCTGGGTGAAAGATTCTTATCAGTGATCTCTATGGCCCAGGTTTGGGAAGGAACTGACCTTCCGGCATCCCATTAGCTGCTCTGAGAGACGCAAATATTTTCTTTTTTGGAAAAGGTCGCATTTATTTAGCGAAGTACCCTGTATTTGGCAAATGGAAAATTTCACAAAAACACATTGGCACTTTTGATAGCAACAGCTTCCATCAAAATATTGCTATAAACAAGCAGATGTACTTTTTTGCCACTTTTTTTAAATTTTGATTTTGGAAATGATGTGGCTTTCAGATGTAGTAGCAGCTGTCACCTGCTGCAAGGTGTTGGTCCTTTGCTGTCAGGAGGCACAAATGTGCACAGGCATGGGAAGGAAGTACTGTCATTTCTCAAGGTATTACCCTGACATATCTCAATGATCTGAAAATAGGCTTTTTGGTGGGAGGGAGGGGGAGTGATATTTAAATAAGTCTGCCAAACATACTCAAGTTTCCAGTTTCTAAGAACTGTGACATTTGTTTAACAAGGCGGGGAAACCTCTGCTTTGAAAAATTTGGAAAAGAAGCATTCCAAAGTTTCCACTTCTGCTTGTAAATGATAAAAGGGAAATACTTGAAGCAGCTCTCTGAACAGTGTGCTTGATGGGACAGATGCCCCCAGGACTTAAAGGTTAATGGTCTGGATCCTCACTCAGCGTAAATCTGCTCTACTGCACTGATTTCTGTGGAGCCCTGAGAACCTACACCAGAGCAGACTACAGCTCCTGCAGGCTGAGTGTCTTGTCATATTCAAGGGGACTCATTCCATTGATCTCCATGGTGGCTGGAGTGGGGCCAGAAAAGCAGAGAATGAAGACAGGACATGCTGGGAAAACAAAAGAGGGAGAAAACTGATTTAATACTAAATGTGTGTGTGTGTGTGTGTATGTGTGTATATTTTAATTCTCTTCCATGTCACAGAATCCTGAAATAAATGCTGTTCAGCTCCAGAGGATCCTGAATAATATATCTTGGAGAAGTAAGTACTAAGAAATGTTACTGTTTTGAGGGGGGGGTGGGGAACCACACACTCTAATAGAGAAAAGCCTCAGCTTCTGCACCTGTTTCTTGAATTCTGGGAAAAGAGAAACCGGTTTCAGTCTGACCAGACTGGCTGTTCTGATGCCTTGTTAGATTTCTGAAGAGAAAGGATTTGCTCAGGCTGTGAAACAAGATGGTAGAAATTTTACAAGTGAAGCTGATCTGATTTGAATTTCAACTACTGAAAGAATGTGGGGGAAAGAGCAGGTGCAGCTATTGCTGTGTACAGGCGGACTCTGAATCTGACCTCAAACCTGGCTTGACTGCAGCCTCAGTTCTCAAACGGTACCTCTTTTCACCCCCTGCCACTACAAGCAGTCTCAGCAGTCCCACTGCTAGAAGGTGTAAAAAGTTAGCCTGCTCTGCAGGACTTACGTAGTGCAAGGGATCGTGTCTTTATCTTGATGTGCCTGATTCATGCTATTTCTCCTGACTCTTCCCTGCTATGCACTGCATAGCAATGTTTCTTGCTCTCTTTGTGTTTGGGAGATAAGGCGGCAAAGCAGGGAGCCTGCAGCACCTGTGTAACTCATGCTTGTGAGAGCCAGGTGAGCCCTGGGGATGTTTCTCGTGTGAGGACTGTGAAATCCACTCCATGCCAGTGGCAGCCCAGAGCACTCCATGAGCCTGTTATTTGGTCCCTAGACATTAGTAACTCTTCTTAAACAGCTGTGAGGTATTGCAGCAGCTGTTTCCCCTGAACAACAACAGTGAAGTTAAGGAGCTAAAGATGGGCACAGTTTTCCTTCCCGGTTTCTTCAGGGGTAACAAGCTATGTGCAACACAAATGCACTGTCCAACAGTTACAGGCAGCAAAGAAGGTGAATAAACACTTGATGTGATCGGCTTTCCACTTCAGCTGAGAGTATCTGTTGTTGCTCTCTCTTTCTGTAACGGTGAACTATAGCCATTCTGTCTTTTCAAAGTGACCCACCAGGTGTTCTCTTATCTGTGAGAAGACTAAGTAATCGATTTTAAGACATAACCTTAAAAACTTCACAGTACTTGATTCATATTTAATAAACAGGGCTATTACAAGATTAAGACATCTTTACTTTCCGCAGAGAAGCGATTGTGAGTTATGGTTTTGTCCTCTGCTCTGAGGAAGTCTACAGACCATCTGTAATCATAATTTGCAGTGAGATTAGAGCCTATTTCTGTTACTCCTCATGTAACTTATATATGAACCAGGAATGCTTAGCTTTGATACAGCATCGTATTTTCAGTGATGCCTGCCTGTACACTTTTAATTATTTTAACAGGGCTGGCAGTGACTTTGTGACAGAGATGCTAAGCACAAGGGTTTCAGTTAATCTGCAGTGCTGTTCCCCAGAGCTCTTCAGGTCAAGTGACTTTTCTCAAGGTCATGCAGTAAATTCTGTTTGGGATTACAGCTTTGGATGCCCTTTTCCTTCAATTTCTCTAATAGCTGGAGATAGTGCACCGTATTTCACTACATATTGTGTGCCTGCAGGGAGCTCATACTGGCTTTTCTGAGACCAGTAGAATCCGTCCTGTTGCCTCATATTTTTATCATCGTATATAACGCATTTTTCTCAAGTGGGTTAAAAGTTTCACTGAAGCTTTGGGGCCTGAGCCCTCAAGTGAGGGGGAATTTTGTCAGCCTCCATTTTTGAGTGATGTCGAGTGATTCCTCCAAACAATCTTTCTTCTTTTTCTCCAGATTTCCAGAGCTTTCGCCTGAGGTTCAGTCTAGATGCCTGCCAGGGTATCTTGGCACTCCTGGATGTATCCTTCTTGGCATGAGTGATACTTCTGACTCGTTTAATACTTTATCTGAGCGTTATTTCTTGGGGCAAATGGAGGGTCACTGATTTCTTTACCATGAGGATATGTCCCTGCTTATTGAACTCGCCCTCCATAATAACAGTTCAGTTGAGATAGAATTGGCTTGGAAAAGGGTTAATTCCTGCT